TTAAAATTTGTACCTTAAAACGACTGAAGCAAATGAGAATTAATGTAATGCTAAACAACGGAAAGAAATTGTTTATGAGTGTGAAGTCTTCTTGCAAATTCCTGACGTATGTTGGGTAGTAGAAGAAATATGTAAGAGAGCCCCATTTGAGCAAAGCAAATAGGTAAGAAAGATATGTCCTAGGTTGTCCACGAGGATATTCGAAAATGTACAAATTGCAAAACGATCCAATGATCAATAATGGTGCCAACACTCTTTCTAGCGTCTCTGTCATAATTTCCGAATCGTCGGTTAGTATTTCAACAGAATTAGTTCTTCCTGGAGGCACAAACACGTTTTAATATTTTTTACAAGATGTTCAGAAATAGTTTTCGCAGTTCCTCTAGGAACTTTGTGGAACTGTACACTGTAAGATATGTACACTGAGGAATAACGTATGTAAATGCCGTTTAATCAATAAGTGTTGAACAACAAAATATTGGACACACAGATAATCTAGATCTAGATTAGATTAGATTGATTAGATTAGATTAGTGCAGCACTTTATCTCTTAGCTTCCTAGAGAGATGATCTATTTTGATTCCCATCGTATTGTCTAATTGATAATATACCATTTTGACACACATACTAAGAAACATGTTCGTCCTTTTGCACACGCACAGTTCGGAGGAATACATTGGTGTCAACTACAATCGTTTATTTGGTTTTCTCTCAATTTTGAGCGAGTTTTATAGTTGATATTACGTCCGTATGCGAATTTTATTTAATTTATATATATTTTACCTACGTTATATCCATTTTTATCTTGTCTTCACAATGAAAATAATCCAACAGGGATCGAAACGTTTGTTCTTGTTCACTTACTGATTGTTAAATTATATTTTACGTTTTTTTTTAATTTCATGACATTTTTTATTTCATTTTTTAACCGTTTAATGTAGATTGTTATTTTGTTGTTTGATTTTTAGGCTCATAGCCCTTTATTCTTTCATTTATTTAAATTTATTGAACCTTATTATTTTTATAATTCATATTTTATATTTTTTTAAAGATTACATTATTTTATTTCATTTCGGTACTGTTTTATACGTTTTAATGTTGATTAAATTACGGAATGACAATTATTCACAATTAGACTCCATGTACTTATTGCGAATTAATTTATCAAATGTTTTATCTTTTTGGGATTTAATGTCATCTAAACATGATATCAACTTTTTTCATTAAATCTATTGCTACTTACTCCTGTAAAAGCAATTCTTATGATATTATACTCTCTATGAATTTTGTACATATCCTAGTTTATATCTGATGTATTGTTAGTTAATGATATTAATATAATGTGCAGCGCTATTGCTAATAAATAAAAAAAAATTGATACTTGAAAAAGACAAAGCAAATGCTAAAGAATCTTGTGCATTATTCGATATATAAAAAATATTATAATTATTTAAATATAATGTGTGATCCCGAACTAGTGCATGATCCGCATTTAATGCTTTTTTTTTTCTATTATTACAAGGTACGAATGATTGTAACATTTGATCTTTATACTAAGTACAAACGTGCTTAATGAATACTTTTTACTTACATGGCTTCTAACAACAAATGGCGACTTAAGTTGAAGCTGACAACTTTAATAAAATATTTAATGATATGTGAATATTGAAGATATGTGAAATTATAATGCTCTTTGTAATGTAAAGGTAAGTACAATTATTCTTATAATGATAATATAATTTATTAATGTAAACATAAAACGTGATGTTAATTTTACTATCATTTTTCATTTTTATTCTCAAAATATTTATATATATATATGCACACAATTTTATGTACTTATATGTATACACTATTATAAATATAGTATTTATTTTCATAAAGTAAAAGGTTTAAACTAAATATGCTGCAAATAAAATTTGATTTCGGCTAATTGTTTTGCCTTCTCTCTCTTTTTTTTAATTCACTGTAAAAATTCAGATATATTATTAGTAAACACGTACAAGATATCACAGGAATCGTCGTATATCTATATATATATGAATGGATTGTAAAATAATAGTAAAGAAGCTAATATACAAAAATATGATGAATTTATTACGATGTTTTATCTCTTTTTGTAACGTAAATTAATGTAAGATGAAACGAATAATATAAATATAAAGGAAAGTCGCCGATACTGCTATAGGTTTTCTAAAGCGACACCTTCTTATTTCTCAGAAACTAACTACTGCACTTTATTTAATATTATATTACTAATAAAAAAAACATGATCTGTTAACTGTTTAGTTAACTAAAAAATTGTAAACGCATAATTTGTATATTTTTGACTTATTTTTATACAAAATCAGCTAAAAACGAATTCTATGAATGCGGAAATAAAATTCTTACGATTTTCTTTTGCAAATTGCGTAATTTAAATAATGGTGACTGTATTATTAATAATATTACATCGTTTTAAATGCTTGTAATTTCCTAAATCAATTTTATTTATATTATTTTTTCTCTCTTAGTTTTTTATAATACGATTTAATAAATATAAAATCAGGTAAACCGGCAGACCTATCTGTTAAACATAACATGAATTAACTAAATTTTCATAATGTTGCTTTATAATGCCAAATAATTATATCGGAGCAATGTACATATAGCACATAAGAAACTATTGCGTTACATATTTACATCTGGCATAGTAGTATAAAGTAATTACGCATATAATTTAACAAAAATGTTTTATATTGAAGTGAAAAGATTCTGGAAAATCTTATATACATTTACATGTAGGTATTTTATACAGATAATTTCTGTAAAAAAAAATGTAAAAAAAAAAAGAATAGAAATATGTGGCATATATTATATTACTGTCTACTATGTCAGTTTTAGAGGTTATTTTATCGAATATCGCTTATTTTTATTTATCTTACGAAAAAATTGATTATTGCAAAATTACAAATAATATTATAAAAATTACTTATATTATCTGATAGAAAACATTTTTTAGTTTGTATTTATGTATTTAAAGTTTATTTTTATCTTTTGTTTAATTAAGAAATATTCTCTAAAAATAAAATAGTATGACGGTATCGGCGACCTTTCCCTAAATGTATAAAATAATATTACCGTTATATTAGAGGAAACTAAAGTTTTGGAACTGGTTGTCACACGGGTTTAACTCTCAACAAGCTAATAATTCAATCAAATATTCTCTTTTTACTGTAGGTTGCTGATTAAATTGTGTAAAATGTTCTGCACCAAAAATATATTTGTTACTTACAATGTTATAGCCTTCCCGTTTTTACCAAACATAGTTATGGCAACAAAAAAGATGTGACTTTGTAATTCCATTTTTGCAGACGCGTACTTTAAGACAAATTACATTAAATTAACTTATTTAAATGTTTGGTTTTAAATGTCTTAAAATTTAGCAATTTTTATTTCTATATTAGAAAGCACGGAATTAAAGCATTTGTTCAATAAAAACCATTGTATTATTAAAACATTTACTAAATGAAAATGTAATGATTCTTATTGCTGAATCAGAATTTAGATTTTCTTGAATATATGAATTTTATGTTATTATTTGTATTTTGTAAGTATATAAGATATTCTTTTTAAACAAAATGTTATAAACATGTATAGCAATTTATATATTTTATATAAAAGGATTTAATTCTATTTTATGTTGTATTACATTTTATTATTCTTTGTACATTATAATTTTTTTTTCTATAATTCGGTATTAAAATACCTTGCATGAAAAATAATAAATTGTATGTAAAAATGAAAATATTCAAATCCAGCAAGCACAAAGTTAAACATATCGTATTTCTTAGGTGTAATTTGCCATATTAAAATAAATCTGTAATATAACACATTTTATTACAGTTATTTTGTAACTTGGTGTTTAAAATAAAAAAGAGGGTCGCTATTAAAAATCAGTGTGGATGGTGGAAAGCCCAAGTAGGTTGATCTTTAAAGATACTTCAAAACTATCGCGGTGTAAATGTTTAAATGGCCGCATTTAGAATTTAATCTGTGCAGAACCGTACGAAATTTGTCTTCAGAGCACTAATAAAAACAAAAATCGGATCTTAAATCGAATATAATGAGAGAGTAATAGAAGCGTAAACGAAATTTCTAGGAGGCGAAAATTGAAACAACGAAACATAGGCAACATGAGGCATTTACGTTTTTTTTACATTCTATTATTCTCCAATTCCATTCGATTTACGCTCCGATTTTTATTTTCATCAGGAAACGAACATGCTTGTAGCATTTATCCTTGGGTGCATTAGTGCAAACAGTGTTTAACCGTATTTCTGTGGCTAGCAGTACAAGTTTTATGCACAAAATAGAATTTTGCTACACTGCCTCAAAGGGTCAGTGTATAAAGAGCAAATGTGATATAAATTTAAAATTTGAAAATAAAAGACGAGGAACAGAACTTTAGCACAATAGTAGGTCTGTTCGTGTTGCTTGCACTTTATGCGATTACAGCATCTTCGCTTTCTCTTTCTACGTCTGAATATATATATATATATCTCATTTTAAGTGCAAACATTTTTTAAGATTTCAAGCTACACAAAGACATAATTAGTTGTCTATAGCGCGCATTGCACGCTTGCTATAGGTATACTCCTGTCTTCGTGTATACTTCAATTTATTTCGTTGCAGCGTGTATAAAATACATAAAAATTAAGATTTCCTATAAGAGGTAAGTATTTACAGTAGTAAAGCAAGACGGGTTCTAACCCATGGGGCTAGAGGGGAGCGCGGGGCGCGGGGGGTACTCGTAGGCGCGGGGGATGTTCGTAACGCAGGGAAGGAGGGGGGAAGGTCGCGGCGCTATTGATGTAAGGACTCCGATCCTTATTTATTGCCGCCTCTCTGTCTCCAAAAATACAATAAAGATGCAAACACTTACCGCATTTGTTACTATCATCACCTACTACCATCTGTTTTTTTCTTTCTTCATCTTTTCCTTGTAAATTTATATTTTTCACGCTACATAAAAATATTATTATAATAAAAATCTTAATTAAAATTTAAAAAAATTTAAATAGGATGAGACGCCGTCGTTTCTGTAAAACAAAAGCGTTACATTAGCATGCAACATGTAAGAAGAGAAATTTAAATATATAATAAATATATAATAAATTTATGATACTTACAATTTCAATCTTCCGGCTTTGGATCAGACTCGTACGGTCGGAGGTCGAACAGTTCGGCTAGGAAGAAGTCACTTTCCTCCCATATATCAAATTGTTCCTCCTGGTTCCACTGTCTCTCAGCTCGTATCGTTTGCCATGTAGCAATATTTATGAAACCTCTAATTTGCACGCACAAACGAGATACAGCCTGAAAAATGGACAAAATGAATTTAAAAGAAAAAAGAAAAAAATAGAAATAAATCTATTTGTTATACTTACCGAGGGGATAATTTGCACCTCCACCTCGTTCTGCAATCGGACTTGTGGCTCCGTCTCTATAAGATACTGAAAAAAGAAAAGTAAAAAAAAAAGTTAGAAGCGCAAAATCACTAAAATGATACAAAAATTTGATACAAAAAAACTTACTCCTTCAATGGGATACTCGTATCGAATTCTAATCAAATCCTGTAAATTATTCATTGTTCAAAAAGTTGTTAAAATTTAAAAAAAAAAATCGCAATATTACTTTAACTATCACTTTCACAGTCATTTAATAAATGTGTAAAAGTATTGTACAATATTTTTACACTTTGGGGAAAAAATAACTCACGTTTTACTAAACTCACGTTATACTCGCACGCGAATTCAGCAAAGACTGACGCTGAAAAGCATCTTTTGCCATAGCGAGGCTATCTAGGAAACATTTGCGCTGCATATGAAACACATAAAATCATGTTACAGAAAGGAAGAATCAATAGAGTACAAGTGTCCTTTTTTTTTTCGACACAGTTTTTTCAATACAGTTTTTCTTGGCGAGACAAAGGATGAGAAGTAAAAGAAAATACATACGTAATAATGCGAACAAAAAAATGTTTATTCACATCTTATTACACTGATTTTCATACTTATTAAAAACTAAAGCTAATAGTTTGCAGCGTTCGAATGCGATCGGTGGCTCGCGCTAGCAGAGCTTTCTGGAAAAAAAATTTTTTAACCATTATTCGCTTTTTAGCAGAGAATAAAATTAGTACTAGTTACTCTAAATACGATACCTTATGACTTATATTTTGATGACATTGATGATGATGAGCAACACGTGATTTTGATGCTTTTTCATCAGGACATTCCCAATGTCTCGCTTTTTCCTCGATGGTGGTGGATTTGGCGCACCTGGTGACAAGGGACGGTATCCTCTTGCGCTCGATCGATTTTGAACGTATATATTCTTTTACTCGATCCATGTCTTATCACTCGTAACTAATATTTATGATTGAATAATCGCGCTATATACTATTTATATACTATTAGATCGGTGACATGTCGCCATGCGTCAATAGAAGCGCCAATGTTTTTCGGCTGCTAAACAAAAAAACATAACTCTTCCGCAGTAAATGGAAGACAGGATGTGCAAGTATTCGCATAAAGGCTACTCCAAGAGTACTCCATGAGTACTCCAAGTCGAACGCAACCTTTTTGTCATCGATTTCTATTTTATTACTTGAACATGCGTTCTCTCGTCTAGAAAATATTTACTTAAATTTTACGATCGACAATAAAAAAAAAAAATAAAAAAAAAATAAACTACGCTTTGTGATTCCTCATTTATTTATTTTATCAATTTCCTGTTGTTGGCACTTCAATTTGCTTTTACACGTTTGGAAATATGAGTCTTTATTTACACAGGATTCACATTTAGATTTTGTGCTTACTGAATCGATCGTGTATCAATATTTTTTCCACATGATTTGTAACCTTTGTCGGAAATTTTATTGGTCTGGCGAGGATCTATGTTTTTCTTATGTTTCCAATATCGCTGGGAAAATTTTCTAATGCGTTTCTAATAAAATATTGTCACATTCGCCGATTAGTGACCGTTAAAACTCTCGAGTTCTATGTTTACTTTGTATTAACGACTGTTTTGTCGAAATTTTCACAAAACAAAGAAATCTTGGAGTCCACTGGACGTAATGAAATATATATATATATATATATATATATATATATAAATTGTTCCTCCTGGTTCCACTGTCTCTCAGCTCGTATCGTTTGCCATGTAGCAATATTTATGAAACCTCTAATTTGCACGCACAAACGAGATACAGCCTGAAAAATGGACAAAATGAATTTAAAAGAA